ATTAACATATTGATGTTTGCATACAGGGCATTCACATTGAACTTGGGTAGACCTTGGAACACAAAGGCTGCACAAAAAGATTTAATTTTTTAAAATCTTTGGATAATCAATATTCAGAGTATGGATTAAACATTCAAGCAAATATCACAGAAAATCCAATTTCAAAGAAACCCATAATGATAACTTACTTGCAAAAAATATGATCACATGGAAGCAACATAGGTTTATTCAGCAAGTTTAAGCTGCAAAATCATAAAAAACTGTGTTAAGAAATCTACATAAATATTTACAAGTATTAAAATTCAAACCTAATAAAGCAAATGGTCAAAACCCTTAAAGTTGATACATATTCAAGATTTAAACTCTATAGGTTTTTAAAATTGAAAACATTATATTTTAGAGTTATGGATTCGTATCTACTATTTGTTATAATTTTAACAAAGTTTTACAATATAAATTTATACTCAGCAACGTAAGTATTGGGTTATGTTGAACCAGGTACAAAATGACTGGATCAGCCACTACTTAAAGTTGAAATTCTAGATCCACATGAATCTTTTACGCCCATTTCTTCCATTGAGTCCATTTTATTCAATGAAATACTTAATATTTTACAGTTTGGTCAATTTTATTCCATAAATTTTTATCTTTTCAACAAATTAAGGATTCAGTAAAACTAAGTTTTTTTTCTGATCTTGCAAATACCATACAATGCCATATGAATCCCTAATGCAAACTAGTTGAGACCAACTATCTGGATCTTCTAATTCCATTTCCTCTATATGGTATATTTTATTCAATAAAAATTTTAATCTTTGAAAGTTGGGTCCTTCTACTTCAACAAAAAATAATATCTTTTAAATAAATTAGAGGTTCATTAAAACTAAATTATTCTTTAATTATGCACTTACCATACAACGACACATGAATCTCCAACAAAAAAATCGTCTGTTGATTCCATTTTTTCCATAATTCTTTTTAAAATCTTTTTAGATAAATTAGCTCTTGAAAAGTAAAGGATCTACGAGTCTCTAACCAAGAAAAAGACTCAAATCAAATTAAAGAATATTGAGAAAAGGAGAAAAAAGAAAAATTACCAAAGAGGGCATTTGAGTTCAAGACCCAATTTCTGAATATGAAATGCCAATGGGTTTAGTAACAGAGAAATGCTTTGAGTCTCCGCTGCCATTCTTGAAATTCACTCAAAGCTTCAGTCTGCAAATCTTTTTCAGCTGAGTAAAGAGCTGAAAATGAGAATTTCGCAGGATATAAATAACCTAGCTTTTGTGTGTGTGCGTGTGTTTACTTATATATACAGACGGTGCTGAGTAAAGAATTTGGCGGTATAAAGTTTGAATTTTGGCGCTCTATGATATTCAGGAAATTGTCTCCCGCTTTTTTAACATGGGCTGTAGCTGGCCCAATTAATACTACTAATTTGTAGAAATGACACCAGATATTCACGTTAAAATAGCACGGGTTAGTCAGTTTTTAGATTGGTCATTAAAAATAGCCAATATTTACAAAATTACTGAAAAATAATTACTATTTTGCAACAATAGGTACCGGTCCAGTATAATATACTGGAGATCGGTGCACCTGTGTATGAACTTCCAGCATATTATGCTGGAACTCTAA